TCAATTGGAATGTCTGAAATAAATCTCCTTCATGGTTATATAAGAACTGTCCTAAGAAAGTTCCTTGTTCCTCATCTTCCTCCTTCAGACCCTGCAGAAAAACATAGGCATAGAGGAAACAAAGTTGTGGACATCCAGTTACAACAGATTTAAATGTGTTTTCAGTTCATACAGACACAACAAAAAGCATGACACAATATCCCAGAAGCACGGTAGTTAGCTAAAGCTGTAAAACAAGGATCCTTGTAACACAATCCATTCCCAAAGCCATGTTTGGTCATGCTGGTGGTATCACAGGATGTCCAAAAACCCAAACACTAATGGTATACACATGAAATATTTAATTCATGTTCATAAACTCAAGATGTATTACAAATATTTATTTCAAATGCATCTCTAAAGTTACAAACACCAGAAGAAGCCCAATAGCAGTGGCCTACAAGTTACCTCTTTCTGTTTTGGTTAATTAATAGTCACAATAGTCCTGTGAGATAGGGAAACAAGTATTATCCCCATGAATACATGAAGACATTGAGTGAGTTAATGGCAAAACAAGGATTAAAAATCTGGAATTACCTGTACCCAGCCCTGTGCAGAGTCCTCTACACCATATTACTTGTAAGTAGCATGTTGTCACAGCAGGTTGTGCAGAAATGAGAGTGTCTCATTTTTAATAGTAAATAGAATTACAAGGATTGTGCTGATAGCTACATATATATCTTACTCCCTTCCCACAACATGGAGTGAGCTATAGAGGTAAAGGAAATATCGAGAACGTGCTTTTTTCCTATATTTTCCCCATACTTGCCCCTCCTCTTAAAAATCTTATATAAAAAGCCAAGGAAGATGCTCACATAGACAGCGAAGTCCTTAGGAGCACTGGAGATTTCTCCTGTAGGGGAGATTTTCTTGGAAATGTGCTCCATTGTAACTGCTCTTGGAATTATTTCCATAGCCAGTTTGATGAGAGTTTCACCCTGATTTCCTGAGAAAGGCCAACAGTCCCCAGGGTAATTACTGGGCTAAAACCAGAACACAAAACAATGATTGGTTTAGGCAAGTCTGTGGCTAACAGTGTAAATGGTATAATTCCACTGACATCAGTGGAATTCCTGAAATCAGGGATTCTTTTGGTATCTTCAAATCTAGTTTTTAACACACCAGTGAGATTTAAAAACTCTCAAATAATCATAAAGTTCATATGTATAAAATCTCATCAAAATTAAATATTATATATTGTTTAATACTAAGAATAAATACTAGTTCCATGATGATGTATTTAGATTGATTACATTGGCTGCACCACTCATAGAAGCTAATAAAAGCACTACTACAGTAAACTTCCTATAATCTGGCACCTTTAGGACCCAGGGCGTGCCGGATTATCAAATATGCCAGACTATCAGAAGGGGGGGCTATGAGGGGTTTGGGGTGGGGTGGGGGGGATGCCACCCGAGACCCCTCATAGCCCCCCCTTCTGATAGTCCGGCTCTGCCCCAGGCATCCCCGATTCAGCCGCTGCTGGTCAGTTTCAG